CTGATTACAATTTTGGACAGGTAATCTCACCATAAAAGGCTATGCATATGAAATACACACCTCCCTAAAAGTGACCGTATTGTGGAGGAATTACATAAACAGGAAAGGTGTGAAGAAATCACAACGACATACAGTATCCTCCTCATCATGGAGACTCACAAATATAATAAATCACAATATGAATATAATAAATAGACAACATAAATCTCAACACAAACCTTTAGCAACCAGGATTTGCGCAACAGGAAACCATAAAATGTCAATAAAACCCCTAAATATTGTCATTCTGGCCATGCCTCTGGATGCCCTTCAGTTCATATGCTGTGCATCTTCTTTAGTGTGTGTTCTGGGGTGTTAGGTCTTTGGACAGTTACAGCAAAGGCAACATTTGATTTTACATAATAATCCGTTTATTCAGCAAGGGCAAAAAAGAGACATCACACGCTCCAGCCCTTTGAAAGCCTGTGCATGTGGGAAAAAGTCATCGTTTTACCCATTTCTTTTCACCAGTAAGCGTGCACGTAAATCTGCTTAACAGTTTTTCTGCTGTGGCAGTGACACTGTGTCCTGTTGCCCGATGCCTTTGGGCTGGGGTGGGAGATGTGGAGAGAATCTCCTATCAGTGCTTAACACATTTATCAGAAAGAGAGGGAGAGTAAGAGAGAGGGAGAGAGAGGGAGGGAGGGAGGATGGTGGGAAATAAGGGAGGATGGGGATAGAGAGAAATAGAGGGAGAGAATGGTAGAGAGAGAAAGCGAAAAGAAGGGAGAGAAGGGGAGGGTGGAGGAAAGAGAGAGAGAGGTATTTTGGTTCACACTTTCATCCTCCAGCTTTCTAGATGGTTGTAGAATTGTTGTAGCATGGATTTACATGATCTTCAGTGTTGTAATGCTTTGTCATAAGTTTTTTTTTCAACTATTGATAATGACAGGGAGAAAGGCCACGATCCATCGATCATCTTCTGTGCGTTTTATTCACATTGGCTGCCTGATTGAAAGTCATAGCAGAGAGTGGACTGGCGCTGAGCTTTCAATGAAGAGAAGAGAAGTAGCCGTCCTTTCAAAATGAGAAAGATGAGTGAGCGTGCAGCGGGAAGAAGAGAGGAGAAAATGACAAGTGTTGACAGCAGATGATGAGTAATGTGACTGTGCAGGGTGAATACAACATAATCTCAAGGTGCCAGGATAGGAACAGACATTGCAGGGCAGTCTGACTTGGTCCAGCTCTTCAACCAGTGTCTGTCTGCACCTGAGAGCCAACATACATAGCACTACTCCATCTCACCCCATCTATGTTCATACAAAAAGTATAGATTTGATAGAAAATCCTCAGAGAGCTATTTCAACAGACAGATTATCTCTCTCTCTCTCTCTTCTGTCATTCTCTCCCTGGCTCTCTCTCTCTCTCTCTCTCTCTCTCTCTCTCTCTCTCTCTCTCTCTCTCTCTCTCTCTCTCTCTCTCTCTCTCTCTCTCTCCTCCCCTCTGTTCCAGTCTGGTTGACAGGTATGCTCTCGTTCCTCGGCTGGTACACAAAGGACAGGTGGGTGGCTCACCTGTTGGAGGGTGACGGAGCGAGCCCTGAATCTCCCAGACTCCTCTGCAGGGGGCGGTGCCAATGCCAGCCACCCATCAGAGCTTTGAGCCGTGCGGCTGCGTTCGTTCGTTCGTCGTGGCTGAGCTGCATACCGAATGAGGTCCTATTTCTGGTGCTGCTGATAATTTACCTGGAGGAGGAGGGTATCATTTGCTTCACTGCCTCACAGTTGAGTTACCCTCCACTCCGCAGACACCAGAGGTGATCTCTACACCTGGTCAACTCTAACTCCCACAGGAACTTCAATTCCATATTCATGTCCTTCTAGAGTTTTGCTGGTCCTGTTTGAAGACGGAGTCATTGTTTGGGACTTCATGCATGTAATGTTGTCTTCTCAATGCCTTCATATGTCCCTCATCTCAGCACGACAAGGACTGCCAACTCAAACCAGCTCAAAAAAGACTCCAAAGTGTCCAATGAAAACATTAAAAACATAATGGGCAAACTATTTTCTTTCCATTGTGATCTTGATCCTCAAGTTTTAACATTTGGTAACATATTATATATGAGCCATGACTGGGATGGATCCCACAGGATACATCAGCTTTCTACGGAGGAGAATACAGTCCTATTCTTCCACTTCCTCCTTATTTAGTGTGCACTAAAGCACTATCACTGCACTATCAGCCAATTGACTGGTCTTGTCTTCAGTTCTATCAGCCAATCAGCATGTTTGAAGCCTTTGGAATCAACCTGCAATCTCTCATGGCAATGCTCATATCAGCCAATCGTCAGATCTAATTTCTGGCGGTGTCATCCTGACCCAGACTCTTGTTAGACCTCAGGAACATGAGGAATGGAACAGCAGTGGCGACCGGCGGACCTGTCAGTCAGCCACTTGTTTTTGTCTCCTTTATCTCAGTGTGCAGTTTAATTGTGTGTCTGGTGTTGTTACAGTGGCCTCTGTGTCAGATGGAACTGATGTCTGCATCTCTGTCTGACATTTATTTCTCATGAAACAAATACAGGCCCCTCTGCCTCTTACAAGAGCTCTGTTTGTTGCCTGTCTATTGCATCACAGAAACACCATAACGACAGATGTGGTATTGACATGAAGAGTCAAACAAGACTTCTACATACTGTCAGTGGTGGAAAAAGTACCCAATTGTCATACTTGAGTTAAAGTAAAGATACCTTAATAGAAACAATGACTAAAGTAAAAGTGAAAGTCACCCAGTAAAAAAAGTCTACAAGTATTTGGTTTTAAATATACTTATGTGTCAAAAGTAAAAGTGTAAATCATTTCAAATTGCTTATATTAAGTAAACCAGACGGCACTATTTTCTTGTTTTTTTTATTTACAGATAGCCAGAGGCACACTCCAACATCATTTACAAACGAAGCATGTGTGTTTAATGAGTCCGCCAGATCAGAGGCAGTAGGGATGACCAGGGGTGTTCTCTTGAGTGTGAATTGGACAATTTTCTTGTCCTGCTAAGCATTCAAAATGTAACGAGTACTTTTGGGTGTCAGGAGCATGGAGTAAAAAGTACATTATTTTCTTTAGGAATGTATTGAAGTAAAAAGTAGTCAAAAATATAAATAGTAAAGTAAAGTACATATCCCCCCAAAAAACTACTTAAGTAGTACTTTCAAGTATTTTTAATTAAGTACTTTACACCACTGCATACTATAGACACACTGACATGGGATATTTCTTCACCACCATGAATTATGAAAGAGGAGCTGAATTGCTAGCAAGACTACCAATAGTCTTGGGTGAGAGTAGGATTCCAGTTCCTAATACCTTAAGACCTTTTCCCAACATTTGTCTTTCAAAGGACTCCAGTTGTCTTTTGAGGTCATTGTGCTGTTGTCTATGGATGATTAATTCAGAGTGTACAGGAAGTGCAGCAGAGCATATGGAACATAGCCTGTCCCCATCCCAACATGGGTCAACCCTCTCTGGGGGACATTATGTATGGTCGGTGGGATGGGTGTGGGTGTGTGGGTAGACTGAGGCCCTCCTGTTGAAAACAGAGTGAACCTGGGACTGGGAGGCCAATGGCGGAAGAGTGGCCATGAGCTTAATATAACCCTGTAAAATATGGAAAAGCGCACACATCTGGCCCTAAGCCTGCCCACTCCTACTCCACCCCCAGGCAGGCAGGGATCTGAACAGAAGACAGCCCATCACTCTCTCACTCTCTCTCTCTCTCTCTATATATATATCTCTCTCTTCTATTCACACTCTCACTCATGACTTTGTTATAGTGTTCTGTCATTGTAATGAACTGAGTTCAGATTGCCAGCAACTGCTTTGCCAGGTAAAATAAATGTGTTGTTATTCTATTCCTGTGTGATGGAGAGGGTTACCCAAAGACGAAAGCAGCAAGAAAGTCTTTAGCGTCATGAGGTTTTGCCAGAGGCCATTTTTGATCCAACCAGATGGTGTTTGCCAAGAGCCAGGATGGCTGCTGCCAGTTTCCACAGCAATATCAGACACCTGTGATGGATGGCCCAGTGGGTGAGGCTATACAAACGCAGCTGTGATTGCATGGCGCTATAATGGAGGAAAGGGGGACCTGTGAGAGGGAGATAGACAGAAGTTTTATAAGCCTTCATATTGCTTTGAGCTGATACACAGAGAACAGATTCAAAGCCAGGAAACTGGGGAGGAGGGAAAAAAGTGCAGGTCACCCAGTGTGGTAATTCTCTCTCTCTCTCGCTGTAGTGGCCAGACTGCACACTGACTGAAATGAAAACAGACGTAAACAACACTCTATCAATTACTGTGTCCATACACGTTTATATCGTTTCATATAAAACACAAATGTACATTTCGTTTTTAAGGGGCTTAGCGAATGGATTTTAAAGGGGCAGTGTAGTCAAAAATGTATGCTGTATTTTATAGATATTTTATAGATATTTCCACACTATGAGGTTGGAATAATACTGTGAAATTGTGAAAATTAAAATAATACCCTTTTAGTGTAAGAGCTGTTTGAAAAGACAGCATGACATTTCAGCTTGTTTTGCATGGCTGGAGTTCACCAGGTGGTATAAGTTAATAGACCAATAAAAAATAGTGTTTCAAACTGCCAATAACAGCCAGTTTTCAGGAAACATTTCCCTCTCATTAGACTCCTCCTATAAGGTCTCTCACTCAAACCACTCACAGACAGTCCTATCAAAAATGTTGATGAGAAATAGCTTCATGCTAAGAAGTTATTTTTGTTTATTTTTTACCATTTTAATTGAAAACAATCAAAGTATTTAATTGTTACCAGGAAATGTTTTGATATTGAAATTAAAAACGGCTGCATTGGACCTTTAACTTCAGAGAGTAGTTTCAATATATTTCTTGAAATTGTTTAGTGCTTTGACTTACAGTACATATCCCTGTCTATTTTGGGGAATCCATCGGGACTATAGAAGAAGAAAGCCTGGGGAATGCGGATGGCCCATGACCTCTAGCGTAGAATGTATTTATTTAACCCTTCGTTGTCTGTTTCCTTTACAGAGGGACATGCTGGATGTCAGCCAAATCATGCGCGATCTGGCCAGTATGGTGCACGAGCAGGGAGATGCCATAGGTGAGACATCACGAGTGTGTGTGTGTTTGTGTGTACGCGTGTGTGTATTTATGATTGCCTGTGCTCCTGTGTGCAGTCATCCATATCTACATATTACTCTGTCTGTCTTTTCATCTCTGTGTCTTTGTAATCCCTTTGATATGTTGACCAACTTTCCAGCATCTCTTTCATCATGAGTTAGCAGACTTAATTAATCACCTTAGGACTCCCATCGATCAAACCATCTTTTGAACCTTAACATGTAATACATGTTTGCTTGAGAGACAGGTGGGTTACAATAACAACAATGGTAGAGGACAGGACAGCATGTCCCACTCTTCTATTATTGATAAACAAGTCCTGCAACCCAGCGCTGATCTAGACTTGGCAGAGAGAGGGAGAGTGTGGTTCAATGCACAGACAGACAGAGAGATACAGGACAGACAGAACAACAACACCACCATCACCCTGCAGAGAGATGAACTAGAGACAGGGGGATGATATGGAACACTAGTCAGGGAAAGAGAAAAACAGGAGAAAGGAGGACAGGAGAGGGGAGATGTACAGATACTGCAGCGACTGGTTGGAAGAGAGAGAAAGATGAACAAGGGACACATAAACGGAGCAGCATGACTGATCATACTTGTTCATATCAGTGTGTGTGCCAAACCAAATTCTGCTGTACATGTGTCTATGGTGTGTGTGTGTGTACCTGTGTGTGTGGCATGTGTGTGTGTGTGAGGTTGAGGTCTCATAAATGAAGTGAAAGGATTCTACTTCTATTCTGATTGGTTCGTTGTGTGGTAGAGTGGCCCTGTGTCTGGCTGCTTTAATCAATCCAGAGTATGATCACCTTTTCTTTTATCTATTTTCACATTTTCGTACTTTTTAACTGTATTGTTGGGAAAGGGCTCGTAAGTAAGCATTTCACGGTAAAGTCTACACTTGATGTATTCAGCGCATGTGACAAATACAATTTGATTTGATTTGAATTATACTTTAGACTCATGCCCAGTTTCCAACTCTCACAGACTCAATGCTACAAGAGAACAGGCAACAGGCAATGAGAGAAACAAAGAGGAACTGGAGAGCAATGCACAATCTATCCCGGATTCTATCCATAATTAGGGCACTTAACATTTAGAGGGGTGAATAATGTTCAGCCTTATGGAAGAGAATATTTAAACAAATGGCCCTTTTGTTTCCTAGAGAAGTTCTGGATGGCGCTGACTCCGTGAGTTAGGACATAAATAAGACTTGTTTGTTGTTTGGCCTTTAGAGATAGGGTTTTCTGAGGTGAACACGCAGGAGGAAATCTCTCCTTTCAACTTCAGTGTCCCTCCTCGTTTCTCTCACATGCGGTGCACAGGGAAAATAAGAGGAAATAAATAGTGCAGAGTTCTAAGAAGTTAAATGTCAATTGTTGATGAAATTGGGTACACTAGTAAAATGCCATTAGAATCTCATTAGATTTATGTCTCTTCAATTTCTGTAGGCTTCCTTGTGAGGATATAGGGAGGAAATATATTTGAGTATGGGCTCCCGAGTGGCGCAGCGGTCTAAGGCACTGCATCTCAGTGCTTGAGGCGTCACTACAGACCCCCTGGTTTGATTCCAGGCTGTATCACAACCGGCCGTGATTGGGAGTCCCATAGGGCGGCGCACAATTGGCCCAGCGTCGTCCGGGTTTGGCCGGTGTAGGCCGTCATTGTAAATAAGAATTTGTTCTTAACTGACTTGCCTAGTTAAATAAAGGTGAAATAAAAAAATTTAATAAATTATTATGAGGGATACATTATGGATACATTGAGACTGTGAATACATTGAGACTGTGGATACATTGAGACTGTGGATACATTAAGACTGTTGATACATTGAGACTTGATACATTGAGACTGTGGATACATTGAGACTGTTGATACATTGAGACTGTGGATACATTAAGACTGTTGATACATTGAATCTGTGGATATATTAAGACTGTTGATACATTGAGACTGTGGATACATTGAGCGTTGTAGAGGGAAGTGGAAAATTGGTGTGGTGGGAAAGTGCTAAAGTGTGTATGGATGAACATGATGGCTTTAAGAGATGGTGGAGGTGGTAACTGTGAGAGGGTGTTCAGCTCACCAGTGTACAGAGTGAAGGTGCTATGTCCAAGTACCTGAGAGCTGTACTACTCTACTGCTGTAGTCTTTTTCACATCCATTATGGACCACAGACATAATGTGTCTCTCTCCCATCCAACCTTGAAATATAATCAGGTAAATTGTCTTTTTGCTTTTCTATAGCTGCGGTGCACATGGTGAGATATTTTTTTTAACGTGTGTAATAAAAACTGGGTCTGAATAAGCTGATGGGGCTTTAGGGGAGCAGGGGGGCTGGGGTGTATGGAGGTGTCCAGAGGAGCAGCGGGGGAGCAGTAGAGGGGCAAATTGAGAAATCAACAAACCCAGGAAGTTTGGATTAGTGCTTTTTAGAGGGCGTGGAGATGACAGTAGCTTCTCTGTGACAAAGCCTCTGCTTCCGTGTGGTGACACACTCGACAAAGCCACAGGTCACGCTGTGCCAGGACTGATACAATCAACAACAACAAAAGAGACAGAGAGACAGAGAGAGAGACAGAGAGAGAGAGGCTAGACGAGTGAACTATCTATTTTCCTGTCTAAGTATTGTGTGTTAGTTTCATTGTGGTTATAGTACAGCATGTTTCCAGTCTTGTGGTTTAATAGGTTATTATGTGTTGATTTAGTGACATTTACTTGCATGTCCTTATAATACCCAAATACATTGAGAATGTAGTGTTGTATAAAATTAATTGTAGCCATGTTTGACAGCTTATGCTTTTCCCTGTTGATGAGATGTTTTTCTCCCTAGAAATATCTTGCATATCAAAGACAGAATTAGTGGAGCATGGTGTGAGGGAAGTAAAGGCTTGTGGGGTGTGTGTGTGTGTGTGTGTGTGTGTGTGTTTTCTTGGCATATTATTGTCTCCGAGGTGGCTCAATTGGCTCCTTGTATTAGCATACTATCTGGGTTATGATTCTTTGCGCAATTAATCAAGCCATGTCCTACAGATATAGGATATTAATTTGAGCCAGTTTGCTACAGCAGGAAAATAATCCTATAGCAAGAGGAAATGTGAATTATTATGGCAATTATAATTATTTGATTTATTTTTATTTTTATGGGAAATCTCAAAGTGGAAATTACAAACTTTAAAACTCCAATATATTACTCCTGCAACAGGGTGATCAGATTAAGACTCACCATCTGTATCTGTGTGTCCAATATTCACATATTGATTGATAGAGACATGTGAAATGCATCTATATTTCATTTCCTCCAAACTCATTTGATGTGATTGACATGCAAAGAGATGTACACAAGCTATAATGGCCATGGTGACTCTCTCTCTCTCTCTCCTCTCTCCTCTCCTCTCTCTCGCCTCCTCTCTCTTCTCATCTCTCCAATCTCACTCTCCTCCACTCTCTCCCTCACTCTCACTCTCTCACTCTCACATACACAAACACAAACACACTCATATCTATTCACAGTCAGCCATACAGAACCCAATAATATCTTGCACTGCCAACATGTTACAAGCTTCACGTCAGCGGTCATGGTTGTCCGGTCTGCTGCTCTCTCGATTCCATCCCCTGCTATTGGACATTTTGGATCTATTCTTTTCACTCCCCCTCAGATGTGTCTCAGTCACACCATCCTGCTGACCAAGCACAATACTCATAAACAGAAAAACACACAGTGACCTGAGAGAGAGAGCGAGAGAGAGAACTGAATTTGGGTCCTGCATGCTTGAGGTTCGGCACTGCATTGATGGGCGGTGAACCAAACATTTGTTTTTAATTGGGAAAATAATTGGATTTAGGTTTGAATTAGTTCTCTCTGGCTACAATAACTATAGTTACTATGGTGTGCATTGGAATAAGACAAGTCATTTGGATTATTGAAAGACTAATAATTGGTTGACTTCTGTAATGTTTAGAAAATGAAATGTATGACGGTGTATGACGGAGTGTGACTTTTGAAAGCTCCGTTCTCAGTTTATTCTCAAGCCGTCACTATGGTGACAGCCAATGAAGAAGTAATTAAACATAGAAATTAAATTAGAATGTTGTGCATCATCAAAAGAGTCACTCAAAGAAAACTCGATATATTGCATCATCGATCAAACGTGACGCTATTTACAGTGCGGTGACGGAGATTGTGTGTGCATCCTTTTTCAGTTTATTAATGATCTTGTGTGAGTGATTATGTAAATGGGAGAAATACAACTAAGTTGGTCTATCTATAAACACAGTTGTGCGTTGTTCTAAGATTTTGAAGGTTCAGGACCATGGAGAGTGCACTCATACGAGCAGCTCAATCGGAGCGATGAGATATTATGAGGGCTTATTGATTGTTCCACATTGCTCACATAACACTACAACACAACTACTGTATGCTCTGGTGTAGGGGTGTGAACGTTTAAACGAAATTGTGATCCTTAACGTTAAGAAATATCCCTAACCGTAGATGCAGAAAGTAAACAGCATAGTGGGTCAATTTCCGTAACAACTAAGAGCGTTGAAGTGCGAGGCTCAACTTCTCTGCTGTTTTGGTGCACTGGCTACCATGCTGTGAACAGCGTGAAGTGAACACGTGCACATACAGATACAGTGTGTGACTGTGTGAGAGCGAAGTGTTGCATCTCGCTCATCTCAATATCCTAGCCTATTTATTCTTGCAAGCCAAGAAATTGCGAGATACAGCATTCCGTTGCGAGATACAGCTTTTGATTGCCAATAGATAGGCCTAGTGCACGGTTCTGACTCTATGTGCCTGGTGGCCGACCTGCCTATACTCTGCCCCTCCCCTCTCTCTCCATCCCTCGCTATCTCGCTATGAAAGATGCAAGTGTTTGTGTTCTCGGAAGTACGGCAACTAATCAGTCTCCTTGCGGAATCTAATGTTGACACTCAGAAATGGGAGTCGACACCGGGAGTCGCAGGGCAAGGAGGAATCAATTATTTTTGAGTCGACTCTCCACCACTACGTCATTGTCGTTAACAGTTGGAGAAAAGGCAGAGAAAGGCAAGCGACAGCAGCGAAGTCCTGTATGGCAATACTTTGAGAAGTTAAATGAGCAGGAAATGCTAACTTTGCGAGGTGGAATTAAAGTATAGTAATGGTGCAATGCTGGCAGCAGCGCAGCTGCATTGTGATTATTATTATTAATTTTTTTACCCCTTTATCTCCCCAATTTCATGATATCCAATTGGTAGTTACAGTCTTGTCCGATCGCTGCAACTCCCATACGGACTCGGGAAAGAAAAAGGTTGAGAGCAATGCATCCTCCGAAACACGACCCCGCCAAGCCGCACTGCTTCTTGACACACTGCTCGCTTAACCCGGAAGCCAGCCGCACCAATGTGTAGGAGGAAACACTGTACAACTGGCGACCGAAGTCAGCGTGCATGCGCCCAGCCCACCACAAGGAGTCGCTAGAGCGTGATTGGACAAGGACATCACGGCCAGCCAAACCCTCCCCTAACCCGAGCAACGCTGGGCCAATTGTGCGCCGCCTCATGGGTCTCCCGGTTGCAGCCGGCTGCGACACAGCCTGGGATCGAACCCGGGTCTGTAGTGACGGCTCTAGCACTGCGATGCAGTGCCTTAGACCGCTGCGCCACTCGGGAGGCCCGAATTCACGTGGAATTGTATACATTTTTCTTGTGTGTATGTGTGTAAAAAGATGGCCGTTTAAACATTAAGACAATTGTTCCATTTGTCACATCTCTAGTATTGTGATAAAATCATACTAAGTAGTGGAAGTACCTGTATGGTTCTTCTATTACCACTACCACTGTAGAATGAGAGAGTACCCAGTGTGCTTCAACCTGTTGTACTGTTGCTATGAAGTATAATCATTATATTTACCATCCTTTCATGTCTCTTCAGATAGCATTGAGGACTACATTCAGACCACCACATCCAACGTGGAGTCAGCCAATCAGGAGCTAGCAAAGGCCAGCCATCACCAGGTGCAGTAGTGTCCTCTTTTCATTGTCCAGGTTCAGTGATGTGTGTGCATGTGTGCGCGTGGGTGTGTGCATATGTGTGTGTACTTGCAGGCGGGTGTGCGGGCAGGCGTTTATGACAACTAAGTGCAGTTCCTGTATATTGCCATATCTGTGTATTGCTGGTACTGACATAACATTTTAATAGAGATTTTCAGGTGTCATGCTGACATCTTTTTACAGGATCAGTAGGACAAACATGATTTCAAATAACAGGGTTTGCTATTTCATTACTAATTTATTGTGTTCATTACGATGCTGTGGAAATAACAATAAAGATAAAATGTTCATCTCATATTTGATCAGCTTTTGCCTTAGCTAAATTAATTGGACTGATAGAAACAGTAAAACGGTAGCCTGGAGTCTTATAGGAAAATTAAACAGATATACAACACTGAACTCCAATTCCATAAACAACTGTTTCTTCCACCAAGATAATGATTATAAGGTTTCAATTTCATCATACAAATTAATTGACTAAGAACGGAAATACATTAAAATGTGCATCAGACGGTAGATTATGATTTCTTTCTGATTTCTTTTGAGTGACTCTCATTTCCATTTGGTAGCATGTTCACAAAATGCCCAAGGTACATTTTTTGTTCATTTTCCTTGTGTATATTGACTAGCAATTTTATGTCATACACCCCCCCCCCCCCCTCCCTCCCTCCTGTCTTCCTTGCTTGGATTATATCACAGGAGGGCTAAGAAGTCAGTGTTTGTAGCATACGCCTGTAGTGTGTAGCCCTCTGGCTATCCTAAATAATATATTGACAAAAGTGTCTTTGGGTTAATAAAAAGGTCACCTTTTTTGTTACTGGTAGTAGATAGCTTCACAACACCCAAACAGAGTGAAGGATGACCCTGATACTCTGTCTGCAAACACACACGTCATTTAGTGACTTACAGTCAGTGCATTCATCTTAAGATAGCTAGGTGGGGCAACCACATATCTCAGTCATAGTAAGTGCATTTTTCCTCAATAAAGTAGCTATCAGCAAAGTCAGTGCTAGTAGGGGGGTACATGGGAGAACTTGGGAAGGTTGAACACCAGGCAGGCTGCTGCGTTCTGGATAAGTTGCAGGGGTTTGATGGCACAAGCGGGGAGCCCAGCCAGCAGCAAGTTGCAATAGTCCAGATGGGAGATGACAAGTGCCTGGTTTAGGACCTGCGCCACTGCCTGTGTGACGTAGGGTCGTACTCTATGGATATAGTAGAACTGAGCCCTGGGGGACACCAGTAGTGAGAGCACATTGTGCAGACACAGATCCTCTCCACGTCAATTGGTAGGAGCGGCCTGCCAGGTAGCATGCAATCCAAGAGTGTGCAAAGCCTGAAATTCCCAGCCCTGAGAGGGTGGAGAGGAGGATATGATGGTTCATCGTCTCGAAGGCAGCGGATAGATCTAGGAGGATGAGAACAGAGGAGAGAGAGTCAGCTTTGGCTGTGCGGAGAGCCTCTATGACACATAGGAGAGCAGTCTGAGAGACCCGTCTTGAAGCCTGACTGGTTAGTGTCTGGTCAAGAACATTGTTCTGAGAGAGCAAGAGAGAGTTGGTCAGAGACAGCACGCTCAAGTTTTTTGGAAATAAAATAAATAATGGATACCGGTCTGTAGTTTGACATCAGAGGGGTCGAGTGTTGGTTTTCTGAGAAGGGGAGCGACTCTGGCCATATTGAAGTCAAAGGTGACGCAGCCAGTGGTCTGGAATGAGTTTATGAGGGAAGTGAGGAATGGGAGAAGTTCTCCAGAGAGTGTCTGGAGAAGGGTGGATGGAATGGGGTTGAGCGGGCAGTATTTCATCTGGAGAAAGAGGTCAAGGCGTAGGGTAGTCTCTGTGTGAGTGGGACAAGTGGACTAAATGGACTGAGTGAATGTGGAGCGGATGTCGTCAACCTTCTTTTCAAAGTGGTTGACAAAGTCGTTCGCAGAGAGGGAGGAAGGAGGGGGAGGGGGTGGAGGATTAAGGTGGGAGGAGAAGGTTGAAAATAATTTCCTTGGGGTAGAGGCAGAAGCTTGAAATTGAGAGTGATAGAAAGTGGCTTTAGCAGCGGATACAGAGGAAGGTATAGAGGAGGGAGTGAAAGGATGATACGTCCTCCGGAAGTTTCGTTTTCTTCCATTTTTGCTCAGATGCCCGCAGCCCTGTTCTGTAAGCTCGCAGTGAGTCATTCAGCCAGGGAGCAGAAGAGGAGGGCCGAGCTGGCAGGGAGGAAAGGGGACAGTGAGAGTCATAGGATGTGGAAAGTGAGGAGAGAAGGGTCGTAGAGGCAGAATCAGGAGACAGGACGGAGAAGGATTTAGCAGAAGGGAGAGATGATAGGATAGAAGAGGAGAGAGTAGAGGGAGACAGAGCGAAGATTGCAACTGCACATGACCTTCTGGGTAGGGGCTTAGTGGTTAGGGTTGGAAGAAAGGGAGACAGAAAATGAAACAAAGTAGTGATCAGAGACCTGGAGGTGGGTTGCAGTGAGATTAGTAGGCGTACAGCATCTAGTAAAGATGAGGTCAAGCACATTGCCTGCCTTGTGAGTGGGAGGGGACTGGGAAAGAGTGAGGTCAAAAGGAGGAAAGGAGTGGAAAGAAAGAGGTGGAAAGAAATTAATCGAACGTCAGGAGGTTGAAGTTGCCCAGAAACTGAGTGGTGAGCCACCATCAGGAACTTTACTTATCAAGATGTCAAGCTCATTGAGGAACTCTCTAAGGGCACCTGGTGTGCGATAGATGACAACAATGTTAAGCTTGAGTGGACAGGTGACAGTGACAGCATGGAATTCAAATGAGGAGATGGACAGGTGAGTGAGGGAGAAAAAAAAAATCTCCACCTAGAAGAAATGAGTAGCCCTGTGCCACCACCGTGACGACCAGATGCTCTCGGGCTATGAGAGAACACATAGTCAGATGAAGAGAGAGCAGCTGGAGTAGCAGTGTTCTCTGGGGTGATCCATGTCTCCGTCAGGTCCAGCATAGGCTGAGGGGAACTCAGCATTTCTGACGGCAGTTCCAAATGCTGCTGGAGACCAGGAATTCCACATGGGTTGTGCGCGTAGGTTACACTAAAGGGGTGGGGAGCGTCTGTAAAACCTACAGTGAGAGGAGCGAACAGGTATAGAAAATGCTCACTTAGTTGACAAAGCTACAAAAGAGCAAAATGAGATCATCTGAAAATAACTAGGTAAGATACTCAAGTAAGAGAGTGGTGTGGAGCCTTCCTCTTTCCTTCATCAAACAACTCCTCAGAACAACTCCGCAGAACCGTCTTTGTTTCAGCGACGAGACCGCCTCTGACACGACCACCGCTGACACAGCTGCCGCTAAAAAAACAGGGGAGGCTGAAGTACTAACAACAATTGCTAATTGCCTAGCAGAGGGGAAAAGAGCACACCTCCCAGTACTAATTGCTGATTGCCTAGGAGAGGAGAAACCACTCCCCCTCTAATACAGCCGCTGATTACAAAACAACAACAATCACTAATTGCCCTGCCCCTTAATCCTGTTGATGTGTCAACAATCAGCTGCAAGTTATGAGCAGTCAGCAGTTCACACACCAAGTAGGCTACTGGGAAGGCAGACAGCACTTAAAGTAGATGCCCCTAGCTATCAAAAAGACAGTACTAGACAACAGAAGATGAAGACATTTTTTATAAATATTACTCCTGGCGATAGCAGGAGTCCTCTAACTATAGATTGAAGCACATACACACAGACACACATGCATAAACACACTGTGACGAGTACTGAGGATACGAAGAGGCAGGACGCAGACGCAGGAATTAACAAGGTCAAGGTTTACTCAAACAATGACAAAGAGAATAAACAAAGATAGAGTACATGACACGAAGCAAAACAATCACACACAACATCCTACAGAACAGTCCAGGGCTAAATAGGGGTAGTGATGAGATGATGAGGTACAGGTGCGCTGGAGGTGATTAGGGTGCGTTGGGTTTCCATTCCGGTGTTTCCAAGGTGGTGCGCTCAGACCGGTGGCTCAGTAGACCGACGAATGTTGATGATTCGCCGGTGACATTACTGTAGTGAGGGGGAAGGAGCAGCCGGTACGATACCTAATTTATCTGTGGAGGACCTTAAAAGGCCCCACAAACCGGGGGCTCAGTTTCTTGCAGGGCAGGCAGAGAGGGAGGTTTTTTGTGGACAGCCAGACACAATCCCCAGGCTGGAATACAGGGGCCTCACTGCGGTGGCGGTCGGCTTGGTCCTTCTGCCATCGAATGGCTCTCTGGAGATGGACATGGGCGGCGTCCCAGACCTGTCCTGGCCCTGTTGGAACCACTCGTCGACAGCGGGCGTATCGGTCTGGCTGGGTGTCCAAGGGGCCAGGGCCGGCTGGTACTCCAGGACACACTGGAGGGGAGTGAGCCCCATGGAGGAGTGAACGAGGGAGTTCTGGGTATATTCTATCCAGGGAAAAAACCTCGCTGGCAGGTGCCGGGTCCTCCTGAGACGCCAGGTGGATGTCTTCGTCCACATCCCAAACGACAGGTGCAACGATGAGAGACGAGGGCAGGATAGGGCCCCCCAGATCCTTCCTTTCTCTGGTATGGTGCATCCTGGAGAGTGTGTCAGCTTTCACATTCTGGGATCCTGGGCGGTAGGACAGAATGAATTGAAATCGAGTAAGAAATTGGGCCCACCTTGTTTGACGAGAGTTCATCCGTTTTGCTGCCCGTATGTGCGCCAAATTCCGGTGGTCAGTAAGAATCCGTAATGGATGGACTGCGCCCTCCAGCCAGTGTCTCCATTCCTCCAGAGTGAGGACCACCGCCAACAGCTCCCTGTCTCCAACTCCATAGTTCCTCTATGCGGGGGTACGTTTTTTTGAGAAAAAGGAACAGGGATACATTTTCTCAGGCTACCGTGCCGCTGGGAGAGGACCACCACCCACGTCCTCCTCCGATGCGTCCACCTCCAGGATGAAAGGACGAGAAGGATCTGGGTGTTTTAGGATGGC